AAGGCTTTAGAATAAGTCATTTCTAGAAAAATCTTTCCCACACTCCTGCCTTCATCCCGCCAAGTCCTGGGATTCAGGCATGTGCCACCACACTCAGCTTTGGTTTTTGGGGGGTTTTTTTTGGTTTTTTTTGGTTCTGTTTTATTTTATGTGAGTATACTTCCTACATGTGTGTAAGTGCACCCATGTCATGCAATGCCCGTGGAGGTCAGAAGAGGACACTGGATCTCCTGTAACTGGAGCTATGGATGGTTGTTAAGCCACCATGTGGGTGCTGGGAACCGAACCAGGGCCCTCTGCAAGAGTAGCCAGTGCTCTTAACTGCTGAGCCATCTCTCCAGCTCCTTTGGTTGTTTTTAAAGACAGAGTCTTGTATTGACCCTGTGTTGAATTTGCTATGTAGCTGAGGATGGCCTTGAAATCCTGATCCTCCTGACTCAGCCTCCTGAGTACTAGGACTACAAGCATGTGCCACCACACCTGCCTGGTTTTTTAAATGTTAGAATGCTATCTCATATAATGTATAAAATAAGCTTTAGAAAGGGGAATTATAAGAAATGTGAAATATTAGAAAGCAACTTTTATAACTATATAGGACAGGAAGCATTTTAAAGCAATATACTACACAATGTAGATTCTACAAGAAAAGGATTGTTAAGACACTTATATTACCATAGTAGTTAGAGGGAAGAGTAACACATTACTATACTTCTCAACAGCAGCAGAGCTGAGAGGAAATAACCGTCAATGCGGAATCTCATATAGAAGCTGTCTCTAAGGAATGGGATGAAATTCAAATACCTCCATGTAAGCAACATTGACAGGATACAGCTCAAGAAGAAAAATAAAGCCCAGAAGGAGTTCCACGTAAGAAATAAAGATAGGGGCTGGAGAGATGGCTCAGCGGTTAGGAACACTGGTTGTTCTTGCAAAAGACCTGGGTTCGAATCCCAGCACACACATGGCCGCTAACAACTGTCCGTAACCCCAGTTCCAGGGGATCTGACAGCCTCTTCTGACCTCTGTGGGCACTGCACGACACGGGTGCACTTACCTACATGCAAGCAGTACATGCACACACATACAGTAAAAATAATAAAATATTTTTTTAAAAGATAAACAATATAGTCAGCACAAATGTTTAAGTCAAACCAAGCATTATTCATACAACAGTAAGTGCTTTGGAGTATAGAGAAATTGAATGGAAATGGATAAAGAATAATTATATATATGAAAAAAGTAATCAAGCTTAAAGCTTCCCAGGGCCTTTTTTCCAAAGTTTTTTTTAAAACTATGTGATGTGTGTGTCTGTGAGGGTATGTGCACATGTATGCAGGTGCCTGCAGAGGCCAAATCCACTGGAGCTGGAATTACAGGCAGCTGTGAGCTGCTTGAAGTGGGTGCTGGGAGGTGAACTCCAGTCCTCTGGAAGAGCAGCCAGTGCTTTTAACCGCTGAGCCATCTCTCCAGCCCCAGCTCTTCTGTTTTTCATACTTGAACTGTGCTGCTCAAGCTGGTCTCAAATTCCTGAGCTTGAGTGCCCCTCCTGCATCAGCATCTTGAGAGAGTGGGGCTACGGCACACCCCCACGGTTTTCAGTTCTGCCTAATTTTCCTGAGGACAGTATGACTTTTAAATTTTTACAAAGTGAGGGGCTGGAGAGATGGCTCAGTGGTTAAGAGCATTGACTGCTCTTGCAGAGGACCTCAGTTCACTTCCCAGCACCCACATGGCAGCTAAGAACTGCCTGTAACTCCAGTTCCAGGGGATCTCATGCCCTCTTCTGGTTTCCATGGGCACTGCATGACACTGGTGCACTTAGCACATATAGGTAAGACACCCATATACATTAAATAAAAATAAAGTTTAAAAAATTTAATTTACAAGGTTGAGAGACTAGGGAGATGGCTCAGTGGATAAAGTGCTTGCTCCCACAGGTGTGAAGATGTACCCATGTAAAAGCCAGGTAGACATTGCTGGCCATCTGTAATCCCAGAGCTCAGGAGCAAAATAAGGGTCCCCTGGCAAGCTGGCTAGCTAAACTAATGGGGATTGACAAACTCCAGGTCAGTAAGAGAACCAGCCTCAGTATATAAGGTGGAGAGCAACGGAGAAAGACAACTTTGGGCCTCCACACACCTGTGTTCATGTCCTCACACACATGCCCACAACATAAACACACACACTCACACACACACACACACACACACACACACACACACACAGATCGGATTACATCAACAGGGTATCTTACAGAATAGAAAATATGTACAAATTATATACCTGACAAGGTTTACATTTCACAGCACATAAGGGACTCAACTTACTAACAAAACCAAACAGGCCTATTTTAAGCTGGTCAAAAGAGATTTGGACAGATATTTCTGAAAAGAAAATATATAAATGACTGGTATGTAAATGAAACATGCCCCATCACTGACAGAGAAGTGTAGATCAAACCAGGATGTGAGCCAGGCACATGCACACTCCTGCAATCCCAGCATGTGGGAGACTGAGGCAGGAGGGTCAGCCCCCAGCAGGGAGTCATGGTGACATAATAGAGAGCAGCCCATGCACGTGTAGTACCCACAGTCTTCAGGGGGAAAGCCACACTCAACTAGGAAGAGCAGTCGCACTGATGGGGCTACATGGTGAGTTCCAGCTCAGCTCACCAGAGTGAGACCTTGGCTCAGAAAACTAAAACCAGAGCAACAGCAAACTCACAATGTGATGCCACCTCTCCCTAATCAGATTGGCTATTATCAAAATACAAGAAGTTGGGCTGAAGAGACAGCTCAGCAGTTAAGAGCATTGGTTGCTCTTGCAGAGGACCTGGGTTAGATTCCCAGGACCCACATAGCAGCTAACAACTGTCCTAACTCCAGTTCCAGGGGATCTGACACTCTTCTAACCTCTGAAGGCATTGTATGACATGGGTGCACTCACATACATGCAAGCAAAACACTCATACACATAAAAATAAAATTAAAAGAGGTAACAAAGACCGGTGAGTCCGAGAAGAAAAGGGACCTTTCCCTGCTGATGGGAATGCAAGCTAGTACTTCTGGTACGGAAAACTAAAATCATAATCAAATGTGATTCAGTATCCTACTCCTGGGCTTGTCTCCAGGAAAAACATCAGTATCTGTCTGGAAGATATACCTGCACTCCCATGTTTATTATAGTACTATTCACAATTACCAAGAATTAGGATCAACCTAAATGCCCAACAAAAGATGAACAGATTTTAAAAATGTTATGTGTCTGCATGTGTGTATGAGAGTGTGTGTGTAACAGAATACTCCTGAGCCTCAAAAAGATGAGATCTTGTCACTTGTGACATGACTGGAACAGGAAGTTATGTTCAGCAAAATAAGCCAGATACAGAAAGACAACTGTGATGTGATATGATATCATTTAAATATTAAACCTAAAAACCTGACATAAGTGGAAAACAGTGGCTACCAGAGACTGGGGAAGGGAGGAGAAAAAGGAAGGCCATGGGCACAAATCTACGAGGAGAACAGGGGATTAAGTGCCATTTTCTGTTGCAGAGTATGGAGACTATGGTTAACAAGAATAATGTATTGTTGGGCTGGGATGTAGCTCAGTTGGTAGAATGTTTGCCTAGCATGGATGAAGCCCTGGGTTCAATCCCCAGAACTGTGTAAAAGGATCATGATGCACACACCTGTAATCTTAGCATTCAGAAAAAATAGAGGCAGAAGGGGCCAGAACAGCAAGGCCACGCTCAGCTACAGAGAAAGTTTGAGGCCAGCCAGAGACACCTGACCTTGTCATTTAGAAAAAAAAAGAGTATTGTTTATTTCAAAAGTTTTTGAATGTCCTCACCACAAAGAAATTATTGATCTATGAGGTGATACATAATGCTAATCACTCTAATTTGATGGCCACATCACACATACATGAATTGACTCATTGCAGTGTGCCCTCCAAATATGTATAGCTACAAGTCAACTAGGTATTTTTCATTATTTGAGATAGGGCATGGTTTTGTAGCCTAGGCTGGCCTAGAACTTGCCATCCTCCTGCTTCTACAGCTGAAGGTCTGGGATTATAGGTAGGCACTATCACTCCTTGCTCAATTGAAAATATTCTGAAAAAGAAACAGAAAAAGATGCACCAAGAAAAACAAAAAAATGAAAATTGTACAGCTATATCAATAGAAAAACAGGTTTTGAAAACAAGCATTATTAGATATCCAAAGGGACATTACCCGGTAGCAAGGGTGACACTTACCACTGCTATCACCATGTTCTCCAAGAACCCAGCCATGGCAGCTTGTGGGATGGACACCCAACTTCTCTCCAATTAGGTACCGGAAACGGGCAGAGTCTAGATTACAGCCACTGCCAATTACACGACTTGCAGGCAGGCCACTTAACTTCCAAACCACGTATGTCAAAATATCCACTAGGAAGAACAAGTTCATAATTGAAAAAGATGAACGCAGTAATTTCTTTCTACAGTTTGCTTTTCTGAGCAGATCAATTGTCTTGGAGGCAAATGTAAATTTATTACAGAGTTCAAAGTAAGGCAAACCTAAAAAATGTGCATACTTGGTGCTGGAGAGACGACTCAGTGATTAAGAATGGGTTGCTCTTGCAGAGGACCTGCATTTTGTTCCCAGCACCCACATGGCAGCTAACCATCATTCATAACTCCAGTTCCAGGGACCCACTGTCCTCAGCATGGGTGCACTTATATACATGCAGACAAAACCCTCATACACGTAAAATATTAAAACTAAAATAGGCCTACTCAATTTTTTATCTTATTATTTTTATGTGTATGCGTATATTGCCTGATGTAGGTAAGTGCACCCATGTCATGCAATGCCCACAGGGGACAGAAGAGGCTGCCGGATCCCCCGGAAATGGAGTTATGGACAGTTGTTAGCTGCCATGTGGGTGCTGGGATATGAACCCGGGTCTTCTGCAAGAACAGCAAATGTTCCTAACCGCTGAGCCATCTTTTCAGTCCCAATACTCAATTTTTTAAAGTTAAATCATTCACTAGTAGGATCTTAAAGCCTCCTTTAAGGTACTGTCTGCTTTTCTGTATATCTAACCGATAGTCCTACCTCTTTAATCAGACTTGCAGACATTTCCCCACTGCCATACCCTCACCTAAGCTGCTTACACATTACCTAGCATAATGTACAGGAAAACCAGGGCTGTCTGCAGCTGGTGCAGAGCCAGAAGTACATGGAAGACCCCCAAGCCTGCTCTGATGTTGAAGATCCACACTAGCAGTAAGTGACAGCTAAGGCACAATCACAAGCTGCCTTAGTTGAGTGTTAAAGACACATCCAGGGAGGTGGGGAGGGAGAAAAGATTGGGAAATATGTTTTGTTTTAATTTAAAATTTTTTTAATTTATTTTTATTTTATCTGTATGAGTACTTTGCCTGTGTGGATTTAAGTGCACCCATGGTGCAATGCCCACAGGGACAGAAGAAGGCATCAAATCCCCTGGAACTGGAGTTAGGGACAGTTGTTAGCTGCCGTGGGATGCTGGCTCCCATCCAAGAGCAGCCAGTGCTCTTAATGGCTAAGCCATCTCTCCAGCCACTTGCTTTTTGTTTTCGTCCTTTTTGAGACAGGGTCTCCCTGTAGCTTCAGCTGTCCTGGAACTCACTAGGTAGACCAGGTTGGCCTCCAATTCACAGAGATGCTCCTGCCTCTGCCTCTCAAGTGCTGGAATTAAAGGCTTGTGCCACCACACTCGGCCTTTTATCTTCTTAAGACAGGGTTCAGTGTGTAGCCCTGGCTGGCCTCAGACTCAGAGGTCGCCTGCCTCTGCCTCCTGAGAGCTGGGATTAAACATGTGTCATCATGCCTAGCTTGGGAAAGAGCTTTTGGTTCCAGGCATAAAGAAAATCCTGCCCAATCATTCACCGACTACTAAACAAATACTTCTGTGCCATGTAAAACAAAGAAGACAGATTTTACAGAGCTAATTAATAAAACCACAAAACTTCAAGAAATAATGACAGACCTTGGAGAGTGTTTTTTTTAGGATTTTTTTCTTCTTTTGCTCTTTTTGAGACAGGGTCTCGCTATAGCCTCAGCTGTCCTGGAACTCACTATGTAGATCAGGCTGGCCTTGAACTCACAGAGATCCATCTGCCTCTGCC